CAAAGAAGATCTGGCAAGTCGAGGACAGTGGACAGGTCTGAGTTCAGTACAGGGCAGGCAATCCATGGGTAACACAGTACGCAGAACTGTGCGCACTCTCAATCCGCGAGGCTTGGAGGAACTGGTAGGAATGCCACTCTGGGAGCCTCCTGACACAGAAGGAACAATCCCTAATAAATAGTAACTAATTTACTTTTACTTTACTATTATACTGTAGATCAGGGCTCCCCAAATCACGATCCTTGAGGGCAGAGAACTGCTGGTTTTCCATCCTCCCTTTACTTGAGGGTCAGGTGTGATTAAGGTCTGGTCAATCAGTGGCAATAATTGTTTATTTAATTGCCTGGAAGGAGAGAAAACCAGGGACGGATTTGGATTCAACGGCCAGATTTGGGCAGCCCTGCTGTAGATGGAAGATTCAGAGTTTAGGCTGAACGGACTTGAAGCACAATGAAGAGTAACAATTCAGCAAAGGGGGAATGAAGCACCAGGACTTAAATACACAATACAAAAATTAACAAAAATGGTAAAGGGGGCGTGCAAGTATGCGGAGACACACAGAGGGAGGGAGGGGAGTGCAACGAAACAATAATTAATCAATTAGGGAAAGAGCTCTGGAACCAACACGGACAGCTGGATCGAGAGGAAAAACAATAAAAGGAACACTCAGGACATGACACTAATTTAAGGACCAATTTGGCTTAAAAGGAGTTTCAGGCAAATTTTCAAGAGCAAGAGGTCCCGTAGAAAATCACTTGTTTTAGCCACTGGAATCACAATTACCAGCATTCGTGTGAAATAGAATTAATTTTTAAAATGGAAAGCAAAACAGCTGGCGTGTATACACTTAATTAAACGCTTTTTGTCTAAAACAAATTGCCTATGTATGCAAATTGAAAATCTGCAGCATCATACGGCATGATTCTTTTATATTTGTCGAATCAATCATAGTTGTTGGAATTCTCTTAGAAAATTGAAGAGAAGCACATAAAAGGAAAGCTGCATGATAGTCACTCAGGAAGGCATGGGTCATAATCCAGGTGGTTTATAAATATGATTGCACTATTTGTGGCTGCGCCAATATTTTAAATTTATGTACATATTAATAGGGGCTTTTGTCTTCCAAAGATCCTCCCGCAAGTGTGATCGCTTGGCGCAGACAGTCAAATCAAATCACCAAAAACACTAAGCTAAACTGACAAATATAGCGAAAAACAAACCACCTAACACGCCTTTCAAAAAAAAAAAAAAAAAAAATCAAGTGAGAAAATGGCATATGAAAATCGCATTTGGAAATCACGTGAACACACATGATGAGTACATGTGGTTTTAAGACACGTGCTTTTTCACGTCACCACCAATGTGAAAATAAGTAGGTGAGAATAGGTTGTAACATCATAGTTATTTATCTGACACTTCCAAAAGAACATTTTTGGTCCAGTTGAGCTGGGGCAATCAACTCGGGAGCGAGGGCAGCCTTGCTCGAAGGCCCAATAGCAGAACGTTTTTTTACTATTGATGGACTGGGGTTTCAAACACCAACCATTTGAGTTTCAATGAAGCAGAGTGGATGGCACTGCTGCCTCACAGCAAGAAGGTCATGGGTTCCAATCCGGCCTGGGGCCTTCCTGTGTGGAGTTTACATGTTCTCCCCGTGTTCACGCGGGTATCATCCAGGTAGTTTCCCCCCCCACAGGTTCAAAGACTTGCATATTGGAGACTCTAAATTTCCCATTGCATGAATTGTATGTTGACATGAGATAGCTGAAGGTCTCATTGAACAATAAAGAATCAATCTCAAAACAGGGTTTTCCAACACTGTTTTTTTTTTTTCATTTGCATTATCCAAGTGAACATCCATAAAGAAGAGCACTAAGCTCTTAGTTTCAAATTCCAAGTTTTCACTCCAAAACATATTTCTTTGTATTTGCCAAAGTAAATCTCGAGGCCTCTCCTGTCACATCATGAAGTCTCTATTACCTCGCTATGACAAATTTACAATGCTCTGAACTGCCAGAATGTTGCAAACCTGGAGGGCAAAGGGGAGTGTATTTCTCTCTCTTTGCCAGATAAGCTCTCCAGTTTGATCGAACATCAATTAAGTAGAAATCACTCACAGGTGCAAATTAGATTCAGATGGCTATACGCTGCCTGAACCATTAAACAGCCTGGCTCTGAGCCCCGATTTGGAATATGTAGACTTCTGCAATCCTAGGAGTGTTCAGCTTCCATCTTTCAGTGGTAGTATACAACAGGATTCAAGAGGTTTCTGTGTCCTCCAGTTAGCTGATGACATCTGCACAAATGGAGATTCCCTGGGAACTGAATTAGCTAAATCTTTAGACAGGGGTCACATGTTTTACCTTTAGTCCACAAGGTCTGGGATATCCCTCTCAGCACTGTGAAACAGTAAGGGCTGTAAATGAGCACAGTGGTGGTTTTTCCAGCGTCATACAGATTAATTTTCTTTTTTCTTTCTTTTAGTTGCATTGGGTGATAGGTCTTCATTTGCCTTGGCTAATGGTGCTTCATATTAATTACATGGTAGTCATTACATTTTCTTCATTCTATCAGCCTCATTTGTTAAAAAGCCCTTGACTGTTGGCCTGCATGACTGGCTCGTTCTACAGAGAGGGCTAATGGTGTATGCAGACAGCATCTCCTTCTTGGCCACACCAGTAACAGATCAATTACCAAATTGATGTACCTCTTGCTCTTATTCTCATAAATCTCAGGATGCCATATTAATTGGGATGTAATCCAAAGATCTTCCTCACACTCTTCCCCTAGACAGCCTTTCATCAGCAATTATGTTTAATGGTCATAAGTGATTATATTATATCTTTGGAGAACAAAGAGTGGAATAGAACAGAACTGACATCAAGTTCAAAACTAAGCCACCAAAAGTTGTACACCACAGAAAAGAACATTTTTGTTGAATTCAGTTTATTAGCTGCTCATGCTACCTCATCAATAACTACCCAAGTAGGTTCTAAGTTAGCTTGACGAAGCCAACTTACTGATCTTCTTCTTCTACTACTACGCATTTTCACATTTTTTCATCCCTTTTACTCATAGACTTATAGAAAATATTATCATCCTTCATAACTACAATGTATTTAACTCTTTGACATGGTTAGTTTGGGGGTTGAGGTTTTTTTTTTTTTACCCAGGAAGGGTTCATGTTAATCGATCAAGCCATGTCCCCTTTCCTGATTGGCTTTGCTTCTCTTTTGTTACGATTTATCTGTGTGTCATGGAGAGAGGGGAGGAAGTTGGATGCAGGAAAGGGTCACATTCAAATCGACGAGGCCCCGCCTCTTGTGCTGATTGGCTTGGCTTTTACTGTTCATAACAATTAAACAGCTTGTTGTAGAGAATTGGGGATTAGGTGGTTTGAAGTGTTAGCATCATTGATATAAAAAACAGTTTGGCTTTTTCAGGCCACGTTAAAGTTTGTTCACAAACTTTAGATTCTACTTTTTATGAACTTTTTACATTACAAAACACCTTGATGTGTTATTTGATATTTTCTGTCATTGTCAATTAATAAACATGATTAAAAAAAAAAAAAAAAAAACTTTGACTACAATTTAATGGAATACATCTTCTCCCAAATGTTTCTGCTGGCAACAATTATTCACACCCTGAATGATGCTTGTGTGAAGTTTCTCATTTGTCAAACAACCACGGTAGAAAACCCATGGACATGGAAAAGATGTTACCGTGTTTCAAGGGGGGCGAATTATTCGCCTGCATCAAGCTAAGAAAACAACTAAGGAGAATGATGAAATCACTGGAATAGGGTTGAGAACTGTCAAACACATTATTAAGACCTGGAAGGATAGTGGTGAACCACCAACTTTGCAGAAGAAATCGGTCAGGAAAAAAATCATAAGTGATTGTGATCAGAGATCACGAAAACGCCTGGTGAGGTCTCATTGCAAAAAAAAAAAAAAAACAGTAAAACTCATGGCTATGTTTAATTGTGAAGGTAAGAGCATTTCCACATGCACAATGCAACAACAATTTGCACGATTGGGACTGAACATTTGTGCAGCAACAAGAAAGCCACTTGTCATTGAGGCTAAGTGGGGAAAAAACAAGTTCAATTTGCAAGAAAGCATAAAGGCTGGACTGCGGAACAATGGAAAAAGGTCATGTGGTCTAATGAGTCCATATTTACCTTATTCCAGAGTGATGGGCAAATCAGAGTAAGAAAGGAAGCCCATGAAGCAATGCACCAGTCACGCGTGGTGCCAAATATACAAGCCTGTGGGAACAGTGTAATGATGTGAGGTTGCTTCCGTTGGTCAGTCTGGGCTGAGCAAAATTATGCAGCACTAAAATTAAGTCAGCAGACTATCTGAATGTACTGAATGACCAGGTTGTCCTATTATAATGGATTTTTTTAATCCTTGATTGCACAGGCATAATCCAGAATGACAGTGCTTAGATTCATTGGGCTTTAATTGTGAAAGAGTGGTTCAGCGACCATGAGAAATCATTTTCACACATGAATTAGCCACTATAGTGTCCCAACTTTAACCACTTGAAAGTCCTATAGGATGTGATGGAGAATGTTTTACAGAGCGGTTTACCTCTCCCATCATCAATACAAGACCTCAGCCAAAAAAAAAAAAAAAAAGAATGCAACTCTGGTTGAAAAGAAATGTTGTAACATTGCATAAAATTGTCAAAACAATGCCAGGATGAATGTGCACTGTGATCAAAGCTAAAGGCGGTCCAACAAAATATTACAGTGTATGACTTCTTTTTTTTTTTTTTTTGGCTTGACAGATTACAAGCTTCAATGATGAGGAAAAAAACAGATTTTATTTACCTTGCCAGCATGAAATATTATGGCTAAACATGACACACACAACAAATTCACTGTATCCCAGAATTTTGTTAGACATTCTCATACAGATTTAGGATCATGCACAAGTATTTTCTTAGTTGTACACTGTATAATGCATCAAACATGCAATATATTGAGCTGCTGGTTAGCTCACTCGGTAAAGCATCACGTTGCGAAGCAGAAGTGACTATCACGCTGCGGGTTCGATCTCTGCCTCGTACCAGCAGGCAGTGGTCGGCAGCTTTTTCAGAGTAGCACACAATTGGCTATTAGGCTACAGGGTTGCAACTTGGGAAGGGACTGGCGGGAAGGAGAAAATAATAGTTGGCTTGTTCGTTGCTCAAGCGCCTCCTGTTGGCCAGACAGGCGCTCCTCAGGAAGATTCTAAGCCTGTCCATGTCCAGGTATCCTCCGCCCTCATTCTGAACTTGCAAAGATTCAACCAATGAGTGTATAAGAAGCAGCAGGCTGACAGGCACGTGCTTCAGAGGAGAGCCGCGACCTGTCTACACTCTCCTGAATTGGCAGCAAGGGGTCGCATACGAGCAAGCCTTGTACATAGTTCACCAATTGGGCATTCCAGATTTGGGTGGGATTGGAGATGCCAAATTTAAAAAAAAAAAAATGCAGTATATTCATTGAACCTAGTGACATTTTACAGCTCACTGGACTGTCACCACCAGGGACTCTATCTCACTGCCCTTCAGACAAAAACCCAGCTTTATTAATTGACAGCAGCAGAACTAACGCCAAAGCAGTATAAACCATTCCTTTGTAAACAGAAGCAAGACAAGTATAAGGAGTTTCTGTCTCAGTACAATACATGTCTGTGTTCATTGTTTAATACAGGAGACATGAATGAGTTCACATTTGAACCCCATTTCAGAAAGGAGTGAGAGATTTTGAATTGATGAAAAGATATTTCAAGGTTTGAAATAAAACATAGTAAAGCTTGTTAACTATGCACTTATAGCAAAAAGGAAAAAATAACATTTTGCACTTAGCTCAGTGAAGTTAATAAGTTAGTGCAGTAAAGTTTGTGGGTGTTTATTTGCACTGATGAGCCAAAATATTGTGACAACTTTCCAAATATGCAGATGGTTGTTTCCCAGCAAAACGTTCCCCAGAGCATCACACTCCCTCCACTGACTTGTCTTCTTCCTGCAGTGCATCCTGGTGTCTTCCACAATGGCAGCCAATGTACATGATGTAAAAACAAATGACACTCATTGGACCTGGTGACCTTCTTCCATTGTTCCAAGGTGCATTCCCCATGCTTGCCTGTCCGTTGTTGCTGTTTTTGATGGTGCACTGGGGTTACCGTTTGCACTCTGACCAGTCCGTAGCTACAAAGCCTTCTGCCCAGATGCACTGAGTGCTGTGACACATTCCTCCCATGACCAGCACAACATTTTCTGCCACTTGTTCCACAGTAGCCCCTCTGACGGTTTGGCCCAGACGAGATAGCCTTTGTTCCCTTTGTGCATAGTTCAGCTTTGAGTGCCCTGTTGCCAGTTTGTGTTTCATCTTTCTTCAGATCACTGTTGGCAGCTTTGACCCCCTGTGAAACGTGACCATGGTTGACCTCGGTTCACCATGGTCAACCATGGTTAAAGCATGGTTAAAAATGGCCGACCATGGTTGAAGCATGTTTGCACCTGCTTGGGGAGTTTTTGCACCATGGTTAACCATAGTTGACCATTTTTAACCATGCTCTAACCATGGTTGACCATGGTGAACCGAGGTCAACCAAGGTCAACCATGGTGTTCCATTTAACAAAAATGTCAAAACCATGGTTTGACCAGGGTTGACCACAGTTACTTGAACAAGGGTCAACCAAGGTCAACCACGGTCATGGTTCGCAGGGGACACTTCAACGATGTTCAGATCTAGTCACCTGGCCGTAACGAATTTGGCCCATGCCAAAGTTGCTCTGGTCCCATCTTTCCTGCATCCAACATGCTGACAATGCGAATGAACTGTTCACTTGATTGAGAGTGTATTCTCAAACAGCTACTGCGGAGTTGTTCTCCAACCTTAAGAAAACAATACTTCACTCCAATGCGGAGAGGAAACATACATACTGCCATTTAATAAAAGCATGGAGTTTTAGGAACACAAACACATTTGTACTCGTGATCAGATGATTGCAAATGTCACACTGATTTTATTTTTATGTTTTACTCCAGCATATTGGTTCAGAAACAAAACTGTCAATGGGCCTCATACAAGAAGTGATATAAGAACAAATTTTCTCTAATTTTTTCTCCCCAATGTTTTGTTATTTTGTTCTTACCCATTGATTTCTGGGATGCACCAATGTTTTCTTATTTTTGCTCTTCTCTTAGTTAGAGAAAATTTTACGAGTGGTCGAGAGCACTCTTACCGAGATAAGAGAAAACAGAAAACTGTTATCTCTGTCCACAAATTGCTTGTCCAATGCACGGAAACACAAGTTTTAAAGCCTAGACATTAAAAATGCATCATATAATCAAATTTTGATTGTTTTATGTTTTCGAGAAATTAGAATGATTTTATTATTTAATTCTTGGGTTAAAGGGTTTGGCCAGCTGATCCTAATTAGGACTAAGCTATAAAACCCCTTAGATACTTGTATGCGTTCTGCCTCTGAATGGCTTACCTATATTGTTATTGGACGCTTTGGCTATCCAAGCCTTGCGCAGAGAGCGCGTTTTTAGAAATCGCGTGGAGCTGTTTGCTGAGACAGATGAATGGCTGCTGAGCCGATCTAGGGCGCTTTCACACTAGGTACGATTGTTCTGTATCGTGCCACATTACGATTGTCCCCCTTCCCCTCTCCCCCCGATGGTCAGCTTTCACACTTAGTAATATCGTACCAAACCTGAGTACACTTGGTGGGTTTTATTATTGAGAAGGGGTTTATTAATATCGAATATTATTTTCGCGAATGCATATGCTGCACGTGCCCTAGCAACCCAGTGTGTCATCTGTAACATAGATTACCATGTATAGCAGCACGAAAAATTAAACTCAAAATTTTCTTGACTGAATGCTTGATGTTTTACACATCTGAATCTTTCTCTGGGTACCCAAACATCAAGGTAAGCTGAAAATATACTGATTACATTCAATATTGGTGGATGTTGCATACGGAATTCTTTTGCCCTTGCGTTTTTGGCTGATTTTGCTGTCCACTGCCTCATACCACAAAAATTTATTTATCGCATAACTTGAGCTGCCAAGCTTTCGTACTGCGTCCTGCACTTTGAAATATCGTAGCCTCTTTTTCCTTAGTTTGTCATGGCACTGATCTATTATTCTGTGATAACCACGCGACTGTAACTACTCACAAATTATTCCATAAATCTCTGAGTGTTTGCTTGTAATATCCAGTTGTGATTGTATGTTTTCCTCCCCCTACATTTAGAGCTAGCATTGAATTTCTTCATTTGAATGGAGATATCTTTTCGCCACTGCATTTGTTAGAACAAGAGAGCCGTAACACATAACAGTAATCTTCCATGCTTAACTACGGTTGCTTTCACATTTGGTACGAGTACGGATTAACTGTGCCCGAGTATGGATAAATTGTACACGAGCAGTCGGCTCTTTGCACACGGCACTTCACCTACCCTTATATGGTGTTTAGTGGGTGTCATATATGCTAATTTAAAACAACCGGCCACGCGCTTCCAATTTACGATCAAGTGGGATTCAACATTCAGCACACCTGAGTAAGAGCAGATTTGGATGGTAACAGCGTTTGGTGCATCTGGAGTTTATTTCTCTTATTTTTTCTCTTAGCAAAAATATACGAGAAAATATAAGAGAAATTTAAGAGAATGTTGCTGCATGAGCCCCATTGTGAGGTTAAAATGTGGGTTTTGAGCAGGAGCACTTAAAGTGGTAATCCATAAGATTTGAATTGGTTTGTTTATATTGACATCTTTGGCAGTAAGCTGTAATTGCAGGTGCGCTTTCTGAACCTCATTTCCCATAACTCTTGTTGAGACCCAACAGTGTCGCCTGTATGACGATGCAGAAAAAGACACGGCAGTTGAACTCAATAAAAGTAAAAATTATGTGACATTAGTCATCCATTAGCGTCATCTCATTCCAGTAACCTGTTAGGCTATTATGATAAATCGATTAACCTTTGGGTTGCCAACTTCACGCATTCGCCGTGAGAATTTGTGCTTCATTCACATTCCTGTGCTGTAGTCAGTAATTATTCAATCAACGAAATGCATGTGTTTCACGATCGTTCAAATTGTTTAAATGAAATAAGACCATTTGAAACATTTTTATGCAATTCCACTGCTTCCAACCCCTGAGTGAAGAAACGCGTGAGAATTCCGGAATCATAATTGTTCTCATATTACTAGTGGCGAAATCCACCGTAACACATGTGAAACTGATAAACTTCAATGCACAAGGACTTCAAATCAATTCCACCTGAGAATCTCTACAAACGGTCTGATAGAATAATTTCTAACTACAGCATGGGAACGTGAATGTGTCGTTTAAACTCAAGCCGAATATGTGAAAGTTGAGAGCCCTGGGTAAATAATGAAAACAGTAGTTGGTTAACAGGTAACGTTATAACTTTTTTTTTTAATAAAAATGATTTGTCGAGGCGGTTAACTTAGTTTTTTTCCTGTTTGCTTCCTGAAATTAAGCTATAATTTTAGTTTCAGTAGTAGCATCAACAGAGACTCAGCTAACATTAGTTTCTACTGCGCACAGTATAGCTACACAGTATGGTATTTGCCATTGGGTAGACGTCAGAAGGGATCCAGTAGCGGTACTTTCCGCTTCTTGGAAGGCTGCATTTTTAACGGTCCTCCCTTAATTCCATCCGTAAAACTGATATATAGTGTAAGGGACAAGTTAGATTTAGGGTTAGGGGATAGAGCCAAGGTTCAGGTTAGAGAAAGTACCGCTACTGGATCCCTTCTGACGTCTACCTTGCCATTGCTTCTCCCGGGGTTCCTTACTTCCTTCAAGCTAGCTTGCGGCTCCTCCTTCCTTCTGGGCAGACCAAACACTGTTTACTGACGTAAAAATCGTCACTAGATGTGCGCCCGTATTTGAATATAGCGCGGTAATGTCGCCACAGACATACTGATTGCTTTACCTGGCAAAGAATGAAATACAAGTGCTTTCATCAGTGGGTCATAGGCCCAATCATCGTTGTTTTATCCCCCCTCTCTGATAGACACTGACTTAACAGACAGTAACGAG